AGGAGAGTAGGGGAAGGATATGTGTTTATTATTTTTATCTTGTTATGTCATAATTTATTAACTAAAGTTGTAATTTTTTTGACAAACGTATTTGCTCACTTTGTGAAAGACTGGCTTGTTTACATTTCAGCTGCTGCCTTTTTCATCACCTATGATTATGTGAAATGGTTTTTGCACACTGATTCATCTTCACATTTGATGCCTGTGAAGCACATGTTGGCTGCCTCTGCTGGAGAAGTGGTAAGTAATGTATATAAAATACTTCAGAAATATAATTGTGCATGTATCTTCATATATGCACAGTCTCTATACAGATATTACTTTATTTTTTAATGAAATAAAAAAGACTATTTTTTAAGCTATGAAAGTTATAAATTTTAATAAACGTAAATGGGTTAAACATGATAATTAAAAGATAGAATCTAGATAGGATGAAAGAAAAATTCAGCTGTGTGCTATATGCAAGAGATAGACCTGAAACAGAAAGAGTAAAATTAAAGAGGGAAGAAAACATCCATGCAAATTGTGGTGGCTTTGTATTATGTCAACATAGAACTGAGCTAAAACTCTTTTTCCCAGAACTCCCTTTCCAGGACGGTTCCAGGTTAGGCTGACCACAGGAAACATTTGTACAAGAGGTGTGAGGCGGAAGTGAAGCAGATGTGTTTATGCTCGGAAGGTTGGTGTAGGGTCAGGCGTGCTTGCACTTCGTACACCTCCTCACTGACCTGGGGACTCAGGCAGCTGCTGTTGCTCCCTTCAGCTTCTCTGCATTCTGAGTCCAGAGGTGTGGGCGCTGTGGCGAGGGTGGCAGCTGTACTGCAGGTCACTCTCATCAACTCAGAGACAATCTGAGGTTGTCCTGGATTTCCCCATATCACATCCCTCTTTCCTTCCTGATCCCCTGCCCTGTGACTTCTATCCCAACACTGCACATAGGGTTACAGTTCTACATAAACTGCTTACCCAGCTCCCACAGTTACTGTTCACATTCTTATAACCTCCATTCTTATCAGTCATAGTGGTTCTACTTCTGATTCACCCTGCCTGATACAGAGATACTAACTGGAAGAGCTGAGCGAATAATGTTAATACCAGACAAAAAGGCTGAAAGCAAAAACCAAAGAGAACATTGTGTAATGATACAAGGAACAGTTCTCCTGAGAGATGTAATGAACCAGAACCTGGACTAAATAGCCCAGGCTCAAAATATAAAACAAGAATTTCCAGAATTATAAGGAGAAATGATTAAAAATGTAATCTACCTATCAACACAACAGCAAGATTGATCTAATAGCTATGTATAGAGCTCTGCACCTAACAAAGATTATTAATTTTTATGAAGTATACTTGGAATATTAATTAAAATGTATAACCCAGTAGTTCACAAGCAATTTAAAACAAATAGTGTAGAGACAATATCATTAAATCATTTGGTTGCTGATTATAATGAAGTAAAATTGGAAAGCAATGACAGATAATCTGTCCATCCCTACCATGGGCTTACAAAACTATCTGACCTTCTCTCTCATAAATAATTCATGAGCCAAAAAAAAGAAATGATAATGTAAGAGATAAAATATTTATAATTACAAAATAATTCAGGATTATTTTTTCATAAACTAACACAGAGGAGAAGGGAGCCAATAACATTTTCCCACTTTCCTCACCCACTTACCTTTCTCTCAGCCCTGCTGCCCAATACTAAGGGACAACCTCGGTTAGAATTGTCTCCATTCATAAATGTCTGTTCTCTACTGTTGTTGTCTTTAAAACACACAGTCTGGTGTTTATGCTGCCCCAGCCTTGTGGGTAGGAGTGGACAACAAAGTGGAGAGAAAGGGTCTCCTTTATGAACCTTTTGTTATTTTCTCAAGTAACTTTTTTTTTCTGTTTTGGAAAGTAGTGGTACAAATTAATGTTAGGAAATTTGGAAAGTGAATCAGTTTTTATAACATTTACATGAAAAGTAATTATATATTATAGTTTTGTTTTCTATGCATTATTTTCCTTTAGAAAATTTGGATGAAAATCTATAAACTTTTGTAATAGAACCTTTTTCACTTGAGAATATAGAGAATAGAGATGATGAAAAGAGAGCGAGATCCTGACCGAAAAGTAAAAGTAAATACTAACTTTAAGAAGACAATTAAAAAAATAACAGCTTTATTGAGGTACAATTTACATACCCTATGATTTACCCATTTAAAGTTTAATTCAGTGGTTTTAGTATATTTGCAGAATTGTGCAGCCATCATCACAGTTTTGGAACATTCTCATCACCCCAAATGGAAACCCTGTTCCCATTAACAGTCACTCTCCTTTCCCCAACCTTCCCGGCCCGAGGCAGCCACTCATCTACTTTTTGTCTTTGCGGATTTGCCTATTCTGGACATTACATAGAAATGGAATCCTACAGTATGCACAAGGGTTCTCTTTTCTTCACATCCGCACTAATACTTGTTATTTCTTGTCTTTTTGTTAATAACTATAAAATCTAGAAAGTTGAAAGAAATTATCCTGAGAGACATTAAGATTACTGAAGTGCTTTAAATAAAATTTCCTTTTGCCACTGGTTTAAAAATGATATTGTAGAACCCAAGTTAACCCTGGATTAAAAATAATTGCCGCCAAAACCGGTTTGGCTCAGTGGATAGAGCGTTGGCCTGTGGACTGAAAGATCCCAGGTTCGATTCCGGTCAAGGGCATGTACCTGGGTTGCGGGCACATCCCCAGTAGGAGATGTGCAGGAGGCAGTTGATCGATGTTTCTCTCTCATCGATGTTTCTAACTCTCTATCTCTCTCCCTTCCTCTCTGTAAAAAATCAATAAAAAATATATTTTTTAAAAAAATAATTGCCTTCATAATTAACTGCAGTCATAAAAGTGGTAGACTAACATATATTCATTTTTTAAAAGCAAATAACAAAGTAGTAGTTCTTTTTATAAGCTGAAGACCCCTTTAGGAATCTAAAGAAACCTATGGCTATTCTTCCAGTAAAGTGGACATGTGGGCATTTGCATAACATTTCTGGGGATTTTCAGTTCTTCATATTCTTACTCAAAGTAAGCACTGCATTGTTTGAATGCTATCTGAAAATCAGCTTAAACTGTAAGTTGAAAGCAGTTTATACTTAATTTAAAAATCTTTTAACCTATTATCCTTGGTTTAAATTTTTGTACTATTGTTCTGAAATTAGAATCTCATTACATGCAGTTATTTTTTTTTGAGTGCATGTACATTCTAAAGAATAGCAAATCATATATGAGCATTTCAGTGTCTTAGGTCATGAAAATTCTGTACTTATGACACCTTTTGCCTCTATTTTAGAATTTCATGCTGCTTAGATTAAGGTTAAATACATTTTCACAAATTCAATATTTGGCTTACATTTTAATATGTTGCTGAGAGCAAGCAGCAAAAATAACTGGGCCACTTATTTCATTTCATGTAGGGCCATCTTGCCTGAAAACTAGTTTGCCATGTTGAAGGACAGACTTTCCTATCTCTCTATTAGAATTACAAAAAAAGTATTTAAACTGATATGATGATGTAGGTCAAATGAGAACTGTTTGATTACTCATGTTAATGATACATCTTTTCATTTGTAGACAATGCTGTATATTCTAATACTTTAATATCTGAAACTGACTATTTTTTTAATCCTCTCCTGAAGATATTTTTTTTCCATTGGTTTTTGGAGTGGAAGGGAGGGAGAGAGGGGAAGAGAGAGAGAAACATCTATGTGAGAGACACCCATTGAATGGTTGCCTCCCTCACTCACCCCAAATGACTGGGGATGGAGATTGAAACCGCACCCCAGGTATGTGCCCTTGATGGAGTGTTGGTGAATGGGCCGACACTGTAATCATTGAGCCACACTGGCCAGGGCTGTAACTGACATCTTTAAAATATGGAAGTTCACTCATACAACTTAACAAAAGGAAGATAAACAACCCAATCAAAAAATGGGCAACTGACCTAAATAGATACTTTTCGGAAGAGGACATAAGGAAGGCCAAGAGACATATGAAGATATGCTTAAAGTCACTAATCATCCTCAAGATGCAAATCAAAACGACAATGTGGTATCATC